CTCGATCCTGGAATATGCCGTCGACCGCATCGGCCGCTACAGCTTTCCAAGCAGTGCAGTAATCTGAGATGAACTACCCCACTGTTTGATATCCCAGCCACCATGACCAGCCTGAGCTGCGTACGTCATCGCCACATGCATTTCCAATTACCCGGTGGGTATTAGGATTGCCACTCATAGCACATCCTACACCCTGCCACATTCAACTTATACTATTTAGCATATTGGACTTTTTGTCTTTCTGTCTGTTTATTTTAATACCCTGCAAGCTCAATTTATCTTTTCTGTTCATTGTAATTTTTCAAAATCTAAAAATAATATACACTGTCATCATTTGGAGATGTGTAGCATTTTGTCCATCCTCGGAACACCCCCATATCAGTAGGGATATGCAAGGAGAGTGCAGTTTAATTGGTTCTGGTCTATGTCTACGATAGCGCGTATGTGGCAAGAGTAGAAATAACCGCCAAATATTCAGGTATGATGATAATCATATTGACTTGGTAACTTTAATACGGAATCCCACTGTTCAAACATAAACCACTGCCGATGCCACTGCTATCAGCCTTTACAGCAGAATAATATGCCGCTTCGCCCTCTGGTGCAACGCTATACACGCATTTTATACGTTCGAGTACGATATGGTCAGACTTGCAGGTATCACAGTGTTGTTTGACGACACCACGACCTGGAGCACTGGCTTGTCGTTTACAGTGACTGTTTTCATCATGGTAAGCACGCTGGCAGCGGGGGTGACCTGTGTCGGGTACCTATGATTCATCGATAGCGACGCACTGGCTAGCACACTCTTGATATCCGGACGGTTCGTGATGAATGGTTTGACTGTGGACTCGTACCCGCCAAGTGTCGACAGTTCATGTTCATACTGCTTATCTCCCTGCCCTCCAATATCTAGCGGCCCTTTGCTGATCGCGCGCTTGTCATCAAACAGCGGTGTGCCGAGCGGAACCGTGGCTGGTGCCATAAATGAACCTGTATTTGTAGACGCCAGAATGTCCAGACCCTGAGCTTCTGGCCCTGATGCAGGCGTCGTTCTGTGCGGGGGGCTAAGGGAGGGCGGGATGTAGTCCTCGGAGGCACTGCTATCGCTAGTCTGTGTGCTGTGTGTTGAGCCAAATGTAAACGATGGGAATGCCTTCTCCTGTGTGTACTGGCTAATGTCAGCGGACTCGCTAATAATGGTCAGCCCGACATTCGTTCCATAGATAGGCTTTTCGTTACCATTAGAGGCTGCAATGCGCGCACCGCCTCCACGCGTCTGTATTCCATGGCCATATGTGTAGTCTGCTTCTGTGTCCTCCTCGGTAATGAATTGAGTCGCGTACACAACGTGTGTAGTGGTCGAAGTGTCTTCAGAAACAAGCAAAACGACTGTGCCAGAGTCAGAATCAGAGTTAGCTGTTTCCTCAGCGTCGTTGGACTGCTCCTCGACCGAACTGTCAGACTCAGTAGATTCCTCGGTGGTCGACTCATCCTCAACTCGCTTTTTGGGCTTTTCGACCTCGCCAACATTGACGAATGGGCGCTTCTCAAACATGATCGCCAAGTCGTCTTTCTTCGCAAACTCCTTGGGTGCCAGTGTCGGCATTCCAGGTACATTCACAACCAGCAGTTCACGGCCAGTAAATGTCTCTTCGGTACCATAGTTCTCAACGCGCACATCGGCACAGTTCATGAAGAACGAGCGATCAGACAGCGCCTCAATCCAAGTCCACGCGAATATCGCCCTTTTTGCCCTGGGCAACGTCTCGGGGATGGGCACATCATAGCCGCCATTAATTGTGTCTAGTAAACAGTTATCTTGCTTGTCCCAGAGCACACCAAACGTGGTGCCGTTGTCGTACGAAATGGCAAACTGGCAATCACCACCCTGCCGCGTCGCCGTACCGTCAAAAAACACCTTAAAGTTATGGCCGGCTATCAAGGTTCCTTGCACAGGGCCCTCAGGGAACTTACGGCATGGATAGCCGACAACGCTGTTCAGAGGCGTCTTCATGTTGTAGTCAACGTCATCGCTGTCCATGTAGTACTTGCTGAACTTGGAACGCCGCGGTGCAGGCTCGCGCATTTCAACCTGCGCAAGACTAGTACCCACAAGTAGTGAGAGCGGCAAGAGATAACACAAATAGGACTTCATGGTTTTGAGAGGTTTTGATGATGAGTGCAGACGAGAGCAAAGGTGCGGGTGAGGGGGTTTAGAGTCGGATGGTGATGGTTGCCAGAGAGCTAGAAGGCTGCTTCCCCACTCTGCTTGGTATCTGGATAGAAGAGAATTTTCATTTGGTTTGGAATAGCTGTGACGGTAGGGGTTGCATTTTCGGATGTCATATCGAGAAATGTATGTGGAGATGGTAAATATGTCGAGAATGCTGCCCCCGGCTTCCAACTGATCAAGAAATAGGCCAAAAATGTTTATTCAGTCAGCTATCACTTGGCACACAATGCATAAGTGTCGGAGAAATGCCTGCAGCAATAGAGGCAAACGCCCTGCCTTTGGCAATGGCTGGCCATGGTAATATCAATACCTTAACATTGGTTTCTACAGCATGAGCAACGTACTGGAGTTGGACAAACTTAAATCGACGCTTACAGCCTTCCTGGCAGATAGTGCAGAGAGTGACAGTGGCCCGGTAGTCTCGCTACGGAGCATCGGTGGAGGCTGCATCAACGACGCTTTTGAAGCCAAAACGACTTCAGGCAGGAGCTACTTTGTCAAAGTCCACATGGCTGGTCCGAAAATGAGCAAGGCGCAGTGCCTAGCTATGTTCGCCGCCGAGCATAAGGGGCTGGCAGCTTTGAGGGCAACCGACACCTTCAAGGTTCCGGCTCCAATCGGAGTCGGTGGGATCTCCGACGGTGCTTTCCTTGTCACCGAATACGTACCTATGCGGCCGCTTCGTAACCAACAGCGGATGGGCGAACAGCTAGCGCATTTGCATTTGGCAAAGGGGCCAAGCAGATTTGGATTTGAGGTCGACAACTTGATTGGCAGCACACCCCAGCCCAATACGTGGAACGATGACTGGGTCGAGTTCCTCAGAATGCGCCTGGAGTTTCAGTTCTCGCTGGCAAGGTTCACAGGCGTTGTTGCTGCGCTTAGCAACGAGCTGCTCGCGAGGTTGCCTGAGTACTTCTCGGGAATCACCATCACCCCTGCGCTCATCCATGGTGACCTTTGGAGCGGAAACTGTGCTGCTGATGAGGCAGGCGAGCCTGTGATCTTCGATCCAGCTACAGTCTGGGGTCACAACGAGGCTGAGCTCGGCATCATGCGCATGTTCGGTGGGTTCGGTCCTGAGTGCTTTAATGCGTACCATGCGATCATTCCCAAGGCCCCGGGCTTTGACAAGCGAGTGCTGATATACGAGCTGTACCACACAGTGAACCATTACAACCTGTTTGGGTCTGGATACCTGGACCAGTGTGAGCAGCTTCTTGAGCGCATCTTGGACTAGTATATCTGTAGCACACTCCAACGCTATAACTCTGCAACTCTGCATGCTCAGAATTGCCCATTTGTATGGTTGAGAAGCGCTTTTAATATCGAGAATCATAAAATAGGCTCTACTAGCGACCAGGCTATCTAAAGAGCGTGGGGCATGTATATCTAGAAGAAGGCAGAGGCTGCCAGAGCAACAGCTGAGGCAAGAACACCAGCGGTCGAGTAGCCTGAGGTCAGCGACCAGGCACCGTTAGTGCTGGAAGAACCAGCGGCTGACGACGAGCCCTTGGAAACTGCCTTAGAAACTGCCTTAGAGGAGTGTCCGCCAGACTTGCTGTCGTAGCCGGCCTCGTCAGACTCGAGATCACTCTCTTCGGCAGAGACCGAGGCGTGGTGGCTGCCGGAAGCGGAAGCACTCTCCTCGGCGTCCTCCTTCGGGTTTGGCACGAAGCCCTTGCAGTCGTACATTGGCGAGTTGAACTTGGGAGTCTTGTCACCCTTGAGGATACCCCAGTGGGTCTCGACGTCGCTGGCGTTTGTCACAGGCTTCCATGCCTCGTCGAAGGCGCTGAACCAGATGTAGTCGATCTTCTCCAGGTTGGCGCGGCAGATGAACTCGCGCATGTACCGTTGCTCGTTCTTGAGCGACGGAACCGCGGCATCGTAGTTGCCACCGTTATCGGGCCAGCCAGTCTCGCCAACAACAACCTTCTTCTTACCGGCGATCGCCTGGATGTCATAAATGTGCTTAAACACCTTGTCCTGGGCGCCGTCAATGTCGGTGCCCTCCCAGAACGGGAAGGCGTGCACGTTGACGTAGTCGACAGCGTCAACCAGCGTCTTGTCATAGAATGGCCAGGTCTCTGACGACGTGACAGGGATGCTGCCCAGACCAATCTTGGTCAGCGCAGCCTTGGTATCGCGGACCTTGTCAGCAATCTGTGCCGAGGTCTGTTCCTTACGGTAGACAGCCTCGTTACCAACAATGACAGCTGTAACATGCTTCTTGAAGTCGAACACACCAGCCAGACGCAGGAGCTCGTTCCTATCGGTCTCATAGACAGTGTCATTCTTGTTGACCCACAGGCCGAGCTGAACCTTCCAGTCTGTGTTCTCCATAGCGCGCAGCACTGGCTCGCCCTGGTTGCAGTCGTGGACACTGTAGATGCGCACCTGGTCGGTGTACTTGCTCAGCACCTTCAGATCACCCTTGACAGTATCGACAGTCGGGCAGTCTCCGTTGGTGAGCTGTTTCGGGTTGTACGAAAGACCGGAAAACTGGTTGGCAGCTGCGGCAGAGATGGCAAGGGAGGCAAGAGTAAGCGAAAACTTCATTGTGGTCGTGTTGAGATATCTGATAATGATGGTGGTGTTATGAAAAAGGAGAGGGTAAGCGCGAAGAGTACGAGGAGCCGAAGAGTATGAGGGAGGGAAAGAGTATTCGAATGTGGTCGTTTATGCCCAGCAAAATAACCAAGAGGAGGGAATAGAGATGCAAAAGCAGAGGAGTTGGGTGGAATTGAAAGCAAAGGAAGACGGCCGTCATTACAAAAACAATTTCCGGAAGTATCAATCCAATGGTTTCTATTTTAGGAATCGGTCCAGCGCGACCATGAGGTAGCGAGCTGCAAATCGCGCTACTGCAGAACAGACTCGGCCGAGTCGCGGATCGCCAGTAGCATCAATGCGAGCATGGCATACAATGTGCTGTTGTTTTGAATAAGGTGAATGTGAGTCCCAAGCCATTGATGCAGGCCCGATCACCCTGGACCCGCAGCCATGCGACAGCACAAAGCACAATAAACACCGCCTTTGCAAGATCATCGCCTCTCCGCTCACTGCATGCAATATTTGGACCTAGGCGCATTGCTTTGACTGACCAGCTGTTCTCAAATTCATAGAATGCATCGTAGTTGTCCCTCGAACTGTTTTGACTAGTAGCTATGATAGGGTTGTTGACGATCCAGGATATGGCAAACAGGTATTTGACGAGCACCGCATTTAAAAACCGATCCATGCGTGCAATTGCGAGCCTGATTGAGCCCGGGTGGTGAGTCTGTTGGTGCAGCCCACGACATCCATTCCTCACCAAAACCGAGACTCGGAAAGCAAAGAAGCCTACTGCTCTCTATGGTAATAGATCCAAGTGCTGCGGGAGTATATTCAGGCAAGTCTTGATTCTACTGCCAGATGCATTCTGCAGCATGGCTAATGGCTCAGTCAAACGTGTCGATTTCAGGAAGATTGGATACTCTGCGCCCAAGACCAATTGCAATCCTTGATGAGCCCTCAGTAGCCAGCTGCTTCGGTGCCACAGCATGCTTTTCCATCTCCAGAGATGCTCGATCAAAGTTGGAGAGTCGGACTGCTGGTTCAAGGCCTGACCTGACACCGCAGCTTCCGAGTGGCCATGCAAACTATTCGCATGCAGCACAAAAGAAGCAGTTGGTAGCGATCACCTGGCGAGCTGTAGGATAGATTGCAACATACGATATCGGACCGAGGTCCACTGGAAACATGAGCTGCAAACCAAAGTGAGATCTGCTTAAGGGGCTCAGCCTACAGCATGCGGCAAGGGCGGCCCGTTTAATACGGAGGAGTGCATAATAAGTAGGACCACTCTGTTGATATGACTCTGGTGTTGCTGCTTGTGTACGTGTCCGCTTGTGCGATGCTACCCATCTCTGACAGCAGGAAATCCTTGACAGGCAGATTGTGCATTCTTGATATATGACTACTGTGTCTGAGTACCTGGTCGTTGGTGAAGACTTGGAGCTTATTGGTTTTGTGGAATGTGGTGTTAACTACTCACCACCATGTGTTGGTGCCACTATCCCTAAAAACAATTATGCTGAACAAGGCAGCCTTGCATACGCCAACTCCTATTGCAATTCGACATATAGCTAGACTCTGACAGTGCTGGGGCTTTGAAGAACACTTTGCTGTCCATGCCAGCAGGAACGGACAACAGCTTGTCTGGGTATTTAGGAAGCATTACAAAGGCCCCTCAAGTCTTCCCATGAGCCACTATCCACTCTGCGGCCAATCCTGAGTACTCGGGTCGTGATGCAATGTAGAGGGAATTGATTTCTAGAGTGCCACCGACCTCGGAATAAGTCCTACCGTAATCCATCTCACAAGATCTTGAGGAAAGCTTGCGCATTTACAAATATCTGGCTGCGGAATGCTTTGGAGGTGTTGTGAATTACACTCTGTTTTCTACTGAAAATGACTCAGCCTTACAGCATACCCAAAAGCAAGGAAAAATCAATTGCCTAGTTGAGTACTAGGGTATTGGGAAGGTTCCAAGGCTTCCTTCGATCCACTCACAGACCGTCAATGACTTGTCAACTAGAGCTCTATCAAATATTCATGCAGCACTCTATAGTTAGGACTGAAGACCTCGAACACCCCCACACCTGTCATACTGGATGTGGTGAGTTTGTGGTTGGTGGCTTGCTCCGTACCGCAGGTTTTCTTGGTGGCAGTGATTGGACCAGACTCCCAACCAAACCGGAATTAGATTTTTTAGATTCCTGCGGCTGGAGATTTTCTTTTTCTCCTCTTGAGCCTCTCAATACGCCTTGAATTCTCTCTCTATTTATTGGACTAAACCATGGTTGACGACGACACGCGGAAGGCATGGAGGGACCGGTACCGGAACGGCAATTTCCTGGCCCCAATGGTGCGCCTTGGAACACTGCCCATGCGGCTGCTCTGTCTGGAGTACGGTGCCGACCTAGTGTGGTCGCCTGAGATCGTGGATCAGAGCGTTGCTGATACAGAGCGGGTGGTTGACGAGCAAACAGGCGTAGTCAGGTACATCAAGAACAACCGCGATGTGTTCACAACGCACCCGAACGAGAAGGACAAGTTGATTTTCCAGCTGGGCTCTGCTGCGCCAGAGTCGGCACTGGCGGCAGCGAAGAAGGTCATGCAGGACGTGTCCGGATTCGATCTGAACTGCGGGTGTCCCAAGCAATTCTCGCTCCAGGGAGGCATGGGTGCAGCGCTGATGGCCGACCCGGACCGGCTGTGCTCGATCCTAGACATCCTCGTCAAGAACATTGACCTGCCCATCACGTGCAAGATCCGTGTGTTTGACGACGAGGAAAAGACGCTGGCGCTGGTGAAGCGAGTCGTGGCTACAGGAATTTCAGCGTTGACGGTGCATTGTCGTACCAAGGACATGCGGCCGCGCGAGCCAGCAATGTGGAAGCGGCTGGATGCGATTGTAAAGGCTGTCCCCGACATTCCGGTGATCTTGAACGGTGATGTTTTTAATTACGAGGACTTTGACCGCGCACGCAGAGAGACAGGTGCGGCCAGCGCAATGTCAGCACGGGGCGTGGTGGAGAATGCATCGGTTTTCCGCAGTGCAGGCAAGTTGCCGGCGATCGAGGTCGCGCACGCATACATCGAAAACTGCGTGCGGATGGCCAACAACTACACAAACACCAAGTACTCAATCATGCAGATGTACACCGACACCAAGTCCCAGGTGTTTGTGGACATGCGCAGCGCAAAATGCTACCGCGACCTGTGTGCGGCACTTGGGCTCAGCGAGCTGTATGAGAATGTTGGCACAAAGGTACTGACAGAGCGGCTCGATCTAAACATGAACAAAAACTTGAGGGGCAAGCCGGCGACTCCCAGTGGCAAGAACAAGCGTGCTGCCCAGGAGGCCCGGGGAAAGGCACCGGGAGCAGACAATGTCCAGGTGGACCAGATCCAGGCCAAGCGCATCAAAACATGAGCAGCCTAGCGTGGACGCAATATCCTGCAGGCGCAATTTCTTTCAACGCGTGGTCTGACCTCACCCGCCTTTTTCCTGCTGGCTCCATTCTTGCTTTTCCTTTCCTCTGAAGCACACCGTCTAACCTCCCCTATACTTTTAGAGACTGTTTGAAATTTCACCCATTTTTCTCACTTGCTCTCGCTATTTGAAATTATACTTTGTGAATGACTGATCAGAAGCCGGTGTTTCCACGAAAACAGCGCAAAAGCAAGTCGATTTTCCGCCGCGAGGGCCAGCAGGCGCTGGGCGAACGCACGGGCAAAGGCAAAGGGAGCGGCACCACGTCATTCGGCACAGCGGGTGGCCACCGCGGCAGCACCGGCCACGGCATAGCAGCCGAGCATGACGATGCCCAGAGCAAGCCATCGACATTTACCAAAACGTGCCAATTGCGAGTGCATGAAGTGGCCTTCTCGCGTAGCGACCTCGTGCTGAACCCGTCGTTTTTCCCCGGCGTGTGCGTGGGGGATATAGTGGCGATCCGCCCGGTGTACGATGCTGACGAGAATGGAGCAGCGTCACCGCGTGGCTCGCTGGACGGGGACCCGGCGCTTGTTGCGCATGCCACCGGAGAGTCAACGCCTGCAGGCAAGGGCAAGGGCAACGGGTCGGTGCTGTCGCCTAAATCAGCTGTGTCCAATGTCAGCAGTGCACAGGGCACAGAGGATAGGCTGGACAGCAGGATTAGCGGGCGAAGGGCAGAGTCTGGGAAGGTGCTGGGCGATGTTCGCAAGAAGGGTAAGTCATGGTACACGAGCATGCAGAGCCGGTGGCACGTCGACATGCCTGACAGCGACGTGGAGCTGCTGCGCGAGCGCGAACGACTCGGCGACGATGAAGAGGAGGTGCTAAAACCCGACCCGCACCGTGAAATTCTGGTCAGGGTTGGCGAGGTGAAGCAGGACGCGCAGCAGCTGCAGGCGTCGATTATCAGCTCGGTAGCACGCACGCTGTGGGGGGAGTACCAGTCGAACCAGAAGGCGATCATCCGCAAAATCAATGTCAGCAAAGAGAGCGAGTGCGAGCTGATACGCGCCGACTATGTCGAGATTGCGTTTCGTGACCAATATGTCGGGCGCAGCGACATGTGGCGGATGTGGCGGTACCTGGCCAAGGGCGTCGTGCACACAAACAAGCAGACCAATCTGGAGGGCCTGATCCGCGCGTCGGTACGGCGGATATACAAGGATGGCAAGCAGGTGGCGTGCGGGTACATTGACGACTCTACACAGGCAATCTTCCGGTCAGAGTCAGGGCGGTTTATTCTGTTCATCCAGATGTCGGAGGAGATGTGGTCGTACCAGGAGGACAGCAACCTGTGCTTCGAAAAGGCTGTCAACCACTTCTTGGCCGATCTGTTCAAGCGCTGGTCGGATATGCAGCTCAATCACATGGTGACCATTGTCATGTTTTCGCGGTGGTGCTATCACACCAGCGACAGCGTGTTCTTCCAGGACCTCGAGTGGGACCGCGACCGCGACCGATACTACCGTGACTACTACAAGGTCATTGCCGACATGGATGTGCGGTCTGACTGGTCGGTGTTTCTGCCGGATATCTTGGCCGAGTTCCGCAACTATCGGCGAGACATTCAGGAGATGTATGACTCCAGCGGTTACCGGCTGCGAGGGGATCTGTCCAAGGCCAACCAGGGTAACATCCTTGAGGCTATCAACCTAGGCATCAACACGCTGGCCAGCAACCACCTGGACCGCGATCTGTCGCGAACCGGCCTCAGCATTATAGTGATCACACCCTCGTTTGGCGTGTTTGATGTGCCCAAGAAGCTGCTGCGGATGACCACCGAGCGCATGCTGACCCAGGGCATGCGTGTCGACCTCGTGTGCTTGGCGCCCAAGCCGCTGTTCAAGCCGCCTGTGTTCCGCTTCAAGTCATATCCGGTGCCCTCTGAGACTGAGCGCATGCGTGCAGTCCATCAGCGGCGTCAGGAGGCCGTGGATGCATGTCGGTTCAGAGACGCCGGAGTCCGCAGCGGATCACCACTCGGCGACAGCCCTGGCGGCACCATTGGCTCTGCAGTGGGGTTGGCGGCTGGCTGGCCAAAGGACCGCATCCCATCCACCTCTCGCTCGGGGATAAAGGCCGATGCATTCGAGACCAGCGACCCACTGACCAGCGACCCGCTATATTTTGACGATGAGCTGTGGGTTAAAGAGTACCTTCCGTATTTACACCGTGCAACGGGGCGGCGGATGGGGAATGCGCCGGCAAACAGTAAGCAGAGCAATGACTACCTTGGCACAGCAGCAAGTGAGCTGATCGGCGGCATGTCGTCTGACTATAGCAACCCAGTGGCTGCTGTGCTGATGGACGAGCAGGATTTGAAGAATGCGCCAGAGAGCATCCTGGGCATTAAGCGGGACGCGTACCCGTATTTTTCGGGACCCGATGCCCATCCGCCATCCGTCAGCCGCGCCACGTACAGCTACTTCCCCTACTGGATTGACTGTGGGTTCTACAGCTACGCCGAGGAGCGGGCATCGGCACGCGCCGACGATTTCCAGCCGTCGTGTAAGATTGGCGACATCGCTGTCGCCGGTGTGTCAGAGTACATGCGCCGCACGCCGCAGATCCCTGACCTCCACAGTGCGCTGCATCTGTCAGTTGAGGATGTTGCCTCCATGGCCACATTTGATGGTGCTCCCACATACCAATCCGACCACAGCTCTGGAACCGATGCTGTGCGGGGCAAGGCTAGTAGCATGCGGCAGGAGGCCACAGCTGCTGGTTCGTTCTCGCATGGCCGGGTCGTCAGGGGCGACGCACAGCGGAGTGACAGACGCGACATGCTTTTGAAAATGTTTGCAAAGTTTGACCGCGAGGCGATCTTAGGCGGCGGCAGCGACGAGGCAGCAGTGGATGCTGACGGCGCGCTCGGTGATGAGAGGGGCACTTCGGGTCCTGTTACGATGAGTGCAAGCGCCAGCGGCCTCGACGCCAAACAGAATGCCAGAGGCGATATGGAAACATCGCGGCCGACCCCAGCGTCATGGAACTATGGCCAAGGGGGCGGACTGTCATCAGCAATGTCGGCCCATTCCACAGATCACCAGCGGCGCTCGATGGACAGCGATTCGATGGTACGGGCAGACATGGGCTCACCGCCTGGCCGCAGCCAATCGTCTGTGGTGCCGGCCAAGATACCGATATCGGCATCTGCCTCGCCAGATGCACGGACGCAGCTGAGTATTCCGATGAATATGCCGACAAACCCGGAGAATCCGCAGTCCCATGTGTCTGGCCAGGGCACAATTTCGTCGTCAGTTCCGCGGGAGGTGCGGTTGGGACGCTCCAACAACATGGCTCGCGCATCAGTGTTTGGAAGTGCAGGCAGCCACCAACGACGTCGCGCTCAGCATCAGCACCAGACCAAGCTTCAGGCTGGTCAGGATACACCATATAGTCGTGCAAGCACAGAGGCGTCTGCAAACTCTACCGAAGGGGCAGGCCTCGATGTGTCGAGTGCCGGGTACTTGGCCAAGGCACGCAGCGTGTCGCCAATGCTTACTGCATCGCCGGCACCTGGGGCAGCACCATTGGCAGCGCAGTGTACCACATCACACAACAGCATCGCTCTAGGAGATGTGGCTGCGCAGGACAGTGCCTTGCCGATGCAGCGCACCCGTGAGATTCAGTTGGACCGCGATTCGCAGCAACCGACCGCGCCAGCGCAAGAGAAGAGAGACGGTGTCTCGGAGTCAATATCCAAGCAGTCGCATATGGCAGATCACATACGGACGTTCCGCTCGCCTGCCAGCAAGGCGCATTCACAGCAACTTGCACGCGACAGTGGTATGTCCACTGGGCCGTTCCGCGTACAGCGCCAGGCTGCGCTGACCAGCCCACTGACTGCAGATCGTGAATTCAAGCTAACACCGCCCAGTGCGCGTCAGTCCAGTGGGTTTGCCGTGCCATCGATGGTGCCGATGGTGTCGTCGGAGCTGCACAGCAATTCGCCAAAGATATTGAAGTCATCGTGGCCCGGCGAAGCTGCGCTAGCATCGTCAGTCGGGGCTATTGAGCGGGTACCCAGGAGCATACTGGGATGTGGGTTTTATCCTTACAACCCATGCAATCCGGAGCTGTTTCCTCTTCCGCCCACCGAGCTATCGCAGCGCTGGTCATTTGCATTCCCGACACGGGCCTCGAATTCGTCATACACCAGCAAGTGGCGGTCGCTATGCACACCGGCATCGCTGCCACTGGTTACCGACTATGTGCCTAGCGAGCTGGGTGTGTACTACAAGCAGTACAACTACCACATATCCACACCGGACATGAATCCCGACGATTCCATCGATCTGCTGCGCAACGAGACAGATCAGTCCGGCCGGCCGCTAGGAGCGCTGGCAAGATTGCGGTCGCCCAAGGATATCATGACGCTGAGGATGCTGCGTGAGATGGTGTTCCAGCGGCTATCGCAGGGGTTCCAGTTTATTGCGGCTGGAAACACAGTTGGCACAGCGCTGGATAACATGACCAGCTCGCGATTTAAGCTGGAGGCGCGCAAGGACAAGGCGGATAGGACAGGCTTCAGCGACTCTACGTACATGTCGACCAGCGCTGCTCTTCCTGGGCTGATGTCGTATCCAGGGTTTTCGCAAAAGTCGGGCAACACGATCTGGCTCAGCAACGGCCGACAGATCCAGCGGCTCGAGTTCCAGGAGAGTAGCAGCACGAACCACATGCCTGGCGTGGCTGTGACACGATGGGAGCGCAATAAGCCGTTCGACCAGAGCCCGGTAAAGTACAACTGCTTGATGTGGTCGCGCAATAGCACCCGGGGGTACCAGGCAGCAGGGATCAATTTCCAGTACCCGAGCGACGATGAGGTCAACTGGAACAACCTGGACTACCTGATCGTTGGATACCAGACCAACCTGACGCGGGCAATGAAGTACTGGCGCACGAGGTATATCCTGATTCCGGTTGACCAGCTTGGCAACGACACGATTTTCAACAGCAAGACCAGCCCGCACATGTCGACCGAGGATGTTCGGATTGCTAACTTTGAGCAGTTCCTGGACCATATCTTGAATTTCTTGCGGAATGATGAGCGCGAGGGCCTGGAGAGGAAGTTTTTGGCAGCGCTTCCGGACGATATGAAGAAGATTGTGTATAGTCGGCATAGGCATAGGCAGCAGCAGCAGCAGCGTGGTAGCGTGGGTAGGGTACCTGCCAAGGATGGGGCTGCTACTGCTGCTGCTGGAAATGAGAAGCGGATCGGGATACATGATATTATGCCCAGCTCGCTGATGCAGATCCGGTACACGTCACTGTATCCGATCTCGTACCTGAGCCACCAGTTGTATGGCCACATGCACGAAAAGAACTATCTGGATCCGAACAAACCAATCGCACTGCCGCCGCCCGCTGCGCGCAGGCTCAACTTGGGTGACTCGCTCAATGTGGAGTCTCCTACCAATACGCTGGCGTTCGCTTTGCAGCACCACGAGGTCGGGCTGAAACTACGCAATGTGCGCTGGCACTTCACGTACTACGACAACATCTTTGTGGGGTACCAGCTAGTGGACTGGATTCTGGTCAATTTTGCCAACGTCAGTACGCGAGCACAGGCTGTCGAGGCTGGCAACCGCATGATGAAGCGCAAGCTGTTCCAGCATGCGGGCGAGCGGCAGATATTCGAGGACGGCTACCATTTTTACCAGTTTACCGATGCGTCTTTGGGTGCGCGTGTCCTTGGAAATCCGCACCTGCGCGGAATGCAGACGTCGTTGATGGCGACCATGGGTTTCAGTGATGTGGTCAGCAAGTACACGCCCGGGTCGACTAATGCGTCGCCGACAGTGAGTCGGCCAGCTAGCCGGCATGGAAGCAATGCGCCGTCTGTCAACAACGACTATGACGTGCACACTATGTCAAACATTGGGTCGGATGCTGGTACAGAGCACGAGGCTGGCGCTCAGGGCATCGCGCATGACATGAGCATTCAGAACAAGGCCCTGAACAAGGTCAAGGCGGAGGGAATAGTGGGCCAAACCCCGGCGCATTCGCTGGGAGGCGAGTCTGTGATGAGTGAAAACAGCCAAGGCGGATCATGCGGGGCAGTCCGATGGGGTGGCGGGTGAGACCCCCAGGGCGCAGACCCACACGCGTAGTTTTAGCGCAGGGTACCGTGTCACACCAGACATGTTTCCACAGCTTGCGCGGAAGCCCACGCTGCGCGACCTGCCCAAGAGCATGCAGCAGTCACGGATGTTTGCGCTGGATCTGGATCAAACGCGCAAGTCGACGCGGATCGAGAACTGTCTGGTTCACCTGGATGCGGTGCAGAACCCGATGACATGTTTCCACCTGTCGATAAACTGGCTGAACTGCACGAACCACTTGATTGACGAGCTGGTGCAGGGGTGGGCGCGCAGAGCCGAGCGGTGCGGGATGCGTCTGGTTGAGGCACCGCGTGCGCAGGACACGCTGATTGAGGACAACCATCCGTTCCATTCGCCGATACGCATAACGCTGGCAGCGCCGCCGCCCCGCGTGGAGACGATATTTGATGACGAGTGGGTGTCAGAGTTTGCGTTTCTGGCGGACATTGAGGATCCAAATGACGTGTCTGACGACGACTATGACGAAGACCCCGAGTTGGACGAGCAGCAGATTGCAAAGCTGAGGCGGAAGGCGCGTATTGTGCGGCGCATGGCGCAGTGCCTGCCAAAGTACGCGTTTGAGCGCGAGTTGCTGGAGGAGCAGGACTTTATTCTAGATGTAGAGGCTGAGGAGGCATATCCAGCGGATGAGCTGCTTCACCGCGAGTACACGTTTGAGCGGGTCGGGCACAAATTTACGCAGTACGTGCACCGGTCAGGCACGGCGTTTGTGCAGATCTGTTCTCCAGGGGTCTTCCTGTGGATCAACAACTACCTGTACACGTCGCACCAGAACCGGATGCGTCCGACCAACACGCTGGCAGCCAATCCCAGCGCGTCCCATGTCGCTGTGGCAGCTGGCGGTGGGGCATATGGGGGGCGACGTGAGAGTCTGGCACCGTCAGCGATGGCGGCCGCTGCAGCGGCAGCAGCAGCAGCAGCAGCAGCTACGGTTGCATCCAAGGCTGAGTCCGCTGAGGCTAGCCCGAGCGATGGCAGCACGGCGGCGATCGGGCATGGGTTGCATGAGCGAACGATGTCGCCAGGGGGCAGCTCAGCAGGCGGTGGGCGGCAATCAATGTATTACCCGGTGCGGGCACGGCACCACATGTGGCCACACCAGGTGCTGGACAAGCGTTCATCGCGCAAGGATTCTGCCAAGCGAAATCGGCGAAGACGGGTGGTCAAGCCCTGGACAGCTCGGCGATTGGGGACATTGGGTCGCTGCCGACGGACTTTGACTCGATCAACGCGGCGGTTACGCGGATGGTGTCGCAGGGGATGATGGCACCTATATTGCCACTGGTGATTGGGGACCACTACATTGACTACACGCGGCCGGGCGAGTACCGCGAGGCGTCGCCGGACTACTACTACATGACGCCATCGCCAAACCAGTACGGAGAGGAGGGGATGCAGAACTCGGGGACCAGCACGCCACAGGCGGTGGCGGCGGCAGCGCCGATGGAACCCAGCCCGGATGCGCTGCGGGCGAACTTCATTGAGATCTGCGACGACAGCAATTCGCTGGAGATGTTCTGGCAGAAGACGGCGCAGCGGTACCGCAATGGGTGGCGTAACCATAGTGCTGGGGCGTTGCTGACGCGCGAGTCGCTGAAGCACAAGCCGATGGTGACGGATGTGTTCACGGAAGGGTTGTGGCAAACGAAGCGTGTGGGTGGGAACTGAATTTTCAGATATGTGAGCTGATCCAAAAATAGATGGCCTTCCAGAAGTTCTATTTTCTGCTTGATGTCATGATTTTCGCACAAGTAGCTGGCGATGCCAAGACCTAGGTGATAGAGTGGACATGCGGATGTGTGGCAGGATGGGGGGGATAAGTGCAGAGTGGGGTTTGGCAGCCCACACGGACATTGTTCCAGGTTTGGTGGCGAGTAGTAGTGTGGAGGGTTGAGGGAAAACTGACGCATTTTTGAGCGGTGGTGTACAGAGGAACACAAGGGGCTGTTTCTCAGCGCAGACAGCATATTTTTGGAAACCTTTTCGCCTCGCTTTTTTATTTTCCCATACACTTTCTGTATTTTGCACACTTTGAATTCATAGCACCTGCACAGAGTCCTTGGGAGCCAGCTGTACACATTGTAAATAGAACTTCGAAGCAGGGGTTCAGCACAGGGGGTCCTGGGCAACACAAGTAGACAAATACGACAATATGAAGGCAGGCAGGATATTTCGGCGGCTGCCGTGGCAGCACTGCAGATGGCGGCGGTGGTGGTGCAAGGTAGAGCTTCGCAGAAGGATTCTTGGGGGGTGCCAGCACATGCAGTTTTTGATTACTGCATAGCGGGCAGCATTGGCAGTGCAGGAAAGATACTCATGGTGGGGGGCGGTCTGCGCTCTTCCTTGAGTGGTTGCTTGGTCCTGTGCTCCTCACACTGGGCCTGAACAGGATAATGCTAACCCTAGCTTGTTTATGGTAGGACGATCGACACGCAACAGCGAAGCGCAGCTGTCTCGGTATGAGTTTCTGGCAGACCCGGTAGTGCACCGGTTCACAGCGCCTCAGCATGTGTCGAAGCGGTCGTTCCACGAGCGGCAGTCATTGCAGGACATGATCGACGACGGGACATTCCACGTGGAGCTGCAGGCATTACAACACTACATACACACTGGTGCTGGAGCCAAACCACGACCTATTGCACCCGGAGGCTGTGCAGCACCGGACGCAGCAGGACGGCACAATCGTGCGCTCGGCGGTGGCCACGCCACGACATCGGGGTGTACCGCGGGCATGTGCTGCGCGTGGGTGCGCAGCAAGCCAATGGATGTATCGGCGAGCCTGCGCAAGTGGACCGGTTCATGCGCGGCTCGTATTCGTTTCGGACGACCGGCACTCGTGGGCACGCGTAGCCGTGTTCCGGGATGCATCGGCGGGCGGACGGGCGGTTTTGGATGGAGTGTTTTCGGTCAACGGCGAAACGTTCTACGTGAAGCCGGCCAGCGCCTACACAGCCACCAAGCGCGACTCGGACCCGATGCTGGCCAATGCGTATGCCCGGGATCGGCGCATGCGGTACGCCAACTCGAATCATCTATCGCAAGGCAGACCTGATTGACGACAGACCAGCAACGTGCGGGGCGCAGCGGCTGGGCGGCAAGGCGGAGGCACTTGAAGCCAGGCGATCCGTTCTATGCGGTGCGGACGCGCAGGGACGCGGTGCGCGGGCTGTTCAAGCGCGGGCAAACACAACGTTTGACCAGAGCTCCGAGGCTCTGGACGCCGGATGTCTGCCGGTGCGCAAGATCCTGTACATGGGGGCGGCGGCCGACTGCACGTACGTGACGCGGTATTCGTCGCAGGACAAGGCCGGCTGCAGATTCTCAGCGACTGGAACCAGGCCAGCGCCGTATATGAACGCCAGCTGAATGTGGCGCTGGGCCTGATTGAACTGCAGATCGAGGAGCTGACGTGTCCGGACCAGATCGACAACAAAAAGGCATGGAACCGCGCCTGCAGCGACCCGTATACAATTGACAAGCGTCTGAGCGACTTCAGTGCCTGGCGCGGCGCCAAGGGCAAGGACAGCGCGGGGCTGTGGCACCTGATGACCAACTGCCCGACTGGTACTGAGGTTGGCCTGGCGTGGGTCGGCACCATGTGTACCACTGGCACGTCGACGCTGACGGAGCAGGGGGTGTGTCGTCGGGCACCGGCGTGTCGGCGGTCTCGCGTGACGAGTGGAAGGTCGTGGCGCACGAAGTCGGCCATAACTTTGGGGCATCGCACGACTGCACCAACCAAGAGTGCCCGTGCTCGGGCAACGCCTGCAACTCGTGCTGTCCGTGCGCCGACGGGTGCGACTGCAAGGGCCGGTATCTGATGAACCCGACCAGCCCCGTGACCTCGGACGATTTCAGCCCATGCTCGGTCCGCAACATCTGCAAGACCATCAAGTCCACAGGCGTGCAGTGTCTGCAGGACCCAGGCGGCCGCAGCATTCTAGCCACGGCCATGTGCGGCAACGGCATCAAAGAGTCGGGCGAGGAGTGCGACTGCGGTACCAGCGAGGCATGCAAGAACGACCCGTGCTGCGACGCCCACACCTGCAAGCTCAAGCCGGCGCCCAGTGCGCCGACGCCAACGATCTGTGCTGCAACCAGTGCAAGATCCGTCCCAAGGACTCGGTGTGCCGCGCCAAGTACTCCGAGTGCGACATTGCCGAGGTGTGCGATGGCCAGTCCCCGACGTGTCCAGAGACCGTCACGTGAAGGACGGGACCGGGTGCAGTAACGGCTCGCTGAAATGCGCGTCCGGCCAATGCACGTCGCGCGATGCCCAGTGTGCAGCGCGCGGCGGCTCCGACGGTCTGACGCAGCGCTGCACTATCAGCGTCGGCGGCGACCCGTGCGACCTGCAGTGCTCGCGGCCTGGCAGCCTAGGCATGTGTGTTTTCATGTCTGGGAGCTTCACCGACGGCACTGAGTGGGCTTCCACGCGCAGTGCCGGTCAGGCAAGTGCAAGGGCGAGAACTGGTTCTACCAGTTCCTGCTGCTGTTCCAGCGCAACCTGGCCATTTCCATTCCCGTGGCCATTGCCGTTGGTCTGATCCTCCTGTGCATTATCTTCAGCCTCTGCTGCCGCTGCCTCTCGTGCTGTACCGGATGCCGCCGCCCGAAGAAGGCTCCCCCGCCCAACCAGTACTTCCAGCAGCCGCATACCCGCCACCGGCACACT